ACAATTTAAGCCAATGACCGACCAACAACAAAGGGAGGGGGCGAAAAAAAAAGTTTTATTTTCATTATTTTTATTAATCCATTTCTGACTATTACCAAAATGTTTATTAAGTCGTTTCATCTTTTCATAGACCTTATCAAATGTATAGAGTCTCTACTTTCTCGCGAGAGGCGTATGCAACAATATGGGTTAAAACTTTTTGAAGAAAACATTTCAAAACGTCTCCGCTAGTGTGATTATTCAGGATTTTCTTATCTGAGAAAGGTCGAATTTCTTCCGACTATTGCACCTCACAATAGTGACGATTTTTGTGTGAAAAAAGGTCCGACCATTACAGGCGTCCGTGCGCTATATATACCTAGAATGTCCCTCGAATAATACTATTGACCAGGGCTGCCTATTTATTACTAGATTTATTTATTTATATTTTACTAGGATGAATAGTGCGTTCTAAAAGAAAAATCATTATTATTGGCCTTTTAAAAAATATTCTTTCTTTTTATTACGAGAAAAAGGTGTAAATGCTAGGAAAAAGAATTTCTGAAGCTGAAAACGCCAGAATACGCTCAGCGCCGGTGCAAGGCCCCGATATTAGACCTCTTGCTGACGTGAGCGAAAACCCACCATATGTTCAATTCTATCTCTAGAAAGAACTTTATACAACGCTTGGCTTTAAACAACGCTTGAAAATTATGTAAGCAACACTATTGCCAATAAAAAACAAAAAAACAACAACAACGCATTTGTTTTATATCACTCCTCAATTTCCTCAGCTTCTAAAGGGGGGTCGAACGTAAATTTTGTTATGTAGAGGGTCGCCTACCGGAAATGTTTGAGAAACACTGCCTTAATGTGTTTTATTTCAAGTAATTGTATGATCTATACTTGGGATTATTTATTTTATATCAATTCATTTTGTCCTAGAAGTGTGTTGCATATGACAGATGATTGCGGATACAATGCACATTTCACCAAAATACAATCATGATAATCATTATCAAAGTTAACGTCAGTGTTTCATGGAACTACAGTTTATTTTGTATGTAATACTTCATGTCGGTTGTTATAGGGATACATGAATAAAGGCGACATCACAGGTATAAAAGGAGTAAACGATCAGGGACATATTCATCTAAAAAAGACACGATTATAATGCAGATAGAAAATTTAAAAAAAAAGCTCTTCAAAAGAAAACTACAATAGATGCAACGCATTAAATAATGCATGATTTTGAAAAGCAGCCTTAGCAATTCTTTATAGAACGATTTATCATCGGCAATGACTCGCTTTTAAAGGAATCATAAATAGCTTTTTTGACACACACACACACATAGGGTATTTGTAATAATTTGTATCATTATTACAAGCAATTTACTGTATGGTTCTGAAACATGGAGAAAAACTGAAGCGACAAAAAAAAAAAAATACAGACCTTTATCAACAGATGCCTGAGAAATATCCTAAAAATACACTGGTATGACAAAGTAGAAAACACCAAACTGTGGGAGATGAGTGGGCAGAAAAATATAGAAGTGCAGATCTTAGAGAGGAAGTGGAGATGGATTGGTCACACCCTTTGATAGAAAAGATAGCAGCAACAGAGCTAGGCAGGCCTTAGAGCGGAACCCCCAGGGAACAAGACGCAGAGGAAGACCAAAAAGAACATGGCGACGCAGTGTACTTGAAGAAGCTGAGAGGACCGGGAAGAGCTGGGAAACCATAAAAAAAAAAAAACTAGCAAGAGACCGTGGAGAGTGGCGTGTTTTTGTCGAGGCCCTATGTTCCACGAAGGAGTGATGATGATGATGATGATTACAGGCAATTTGAGTGAAATAGAAAATAAAATCCTTGAAATTGTATGAGCACACAAATACTTTAATAAAACATTAAATTGTACACCAGATATGTCTCATACCGATCTAATCACTACTATTCTGTTTCTTATTTAACTCATGTTGCAATACATGAAAATTTTCTGGGGTTTTGCCCAATTACTGATACAACTGGAGAAGGACTTTGTAACGTCGTAATTGAAAAATATGCAAAGTAAAAATTGAAATAAAACATCTAAGAGGGCATGAGGGATACGGCAACGGTGCGAATATGAAAGGTCAAAAAAGTAAAGATCTACAAAATTGGATTTAAATTAACTGGCGCTTTTGGTACAGTCTCCAGCTCAGTCCTAATACATTTCTTTTTGTAGAAAAAAAGTGGGGGGGATTGTGACCGCCTGCGTGCGAAAATTACAAACAACGCCGCCCCCCTTTTCCCCAGAGAAAACTATTCAATGAAGACTGAGCAGGACACTGTTCCATACGTGCCCGTTCATTTCAATTCTATTTTTTAAGGCCATTCTATTTTTTTCCTTTCATATTTGCATCGTTGTTGTATCCCTCAAGTAGGTGTACAACTGTGAACCATGCACTATGAACAATTTCGGATTTAAGTGCCTTCAGATATCTGACATTTTTGGTTCTTTGTGATAAACATTGAAAAAAACTCATCTCGTTCTGTCTACTCGCTTAAGCTCCTGTATTTGTGACGATGAATTTATAATTGATGAGCTGCGGCAGGTATATTACAATGAACATTGTACTGTAAATGATCAAGATCTATATACAATTTCTCGATAACTTTGACTGTTCAACAGTGTTACATGATCTGGACGCGGATATGTTAACTTGTTAATTATTATTGTACGTTAAACTGATATTTAAACAAAATCTACCTCACAACAAAAAAGTATTAACTCTTTCATGTCTTACGATCGTCTCACATTTGCACTATGTAGGGCCTACGCTAATTTCGTCATCGTGCATTACCACCAATCAATCGCTTAACCTCTTCTCACTGCCGCCTAGCAATTACACACTCCATAACACCCCTATTGTCATGAACGTTGCGCCCTCCCCCATCCACATGAGAGGAACTAGCGCCCCCCCCCCCCCCACCCCAGTGAAAATGTTTTTAAAATTAACTTTTTAATTACCGGTACTAGATCTATTTACAAGACGGGCTATTCGACTCAAAACAAATATTACAAACAACCCGCGAAAATTCAAGGCCAGAAATGAATAGGCGCCAAATGGAAAAACCCGTAGAAATCCCTCGCACGCTGCTCTATTTTTTTTTTGTCCTAGTTTCCAAAATAGTTTGTTTTGAACGAATATCGTTTATATTTTCAAAGGATAATGGAATAAATAAAATTTATATAAAATATTTAAGAATTTGTTTTTATTTAACTAATTTTTTTTGTAAAGTAACCTTGGAATAATGATTTGGTCACCCCCTAAAGTCGGCCGCCTGCGTGCAATGCACACATTGCATAATAGGTAGCGGCATCCCTGGATTTTAGGCCTACTAATAGTATTTTGCTCTAGTTTGATGTGAAGTCATTTAAATTGAATTTAAATTAAATTTAAATCTCACGGCTATGTTGCGTCTGATCTAACTAGTTTCTTTATGTTTTATTTAGGGCTAATTTTAAACACAATTTAATTATGCTCTTTTCGTGGTAGATCTATTACTTAACTCATTTTTTACAATTTATTTTAATACATTTGTAATACATCTAGACCAACAATAACAAATCTGTGCGAATAGAAATTTTTTTAAGGAATAGTTTTTGTTTAGCGCTATTTCATCATTTTAGCTTTCTCAATGTGCTATATATAATCTATCACTTGTCTGGACCAGCTGGGAAACATGCTTTTAAAATATCCTCTAATCAACTGTTTGACAACGGAAAATTGGAATTTAAAATTTTTTTTTTACAATTAATACAGAAAAAAAAATCTAAATTTGATACGATTATGGAATAACACCTTCAACGTATTCAACAATCCAGTTTGTTTTTTTAAATTACCTCATTAAATTGGATTTGAAAAACAAAATGAACGGAATTTTATTAATAACAAGTGAAATATCAAATAAAATCCTTGAAATTGTGCGAGCTACCAAATATTTTTTCATAAAATTAGACTGTACGCCAAATGAGTCTCATAATGAACAGTTAACATCTCATGTAGAAATGCAAGAATATTTTCTGGCGATTTACCCAATTAATGACACAACTGGAGGACTTTGTGACTTCAGGATAGAAAAAAGTTGCAAAGTTAAATCTAGAAATAAGGTTACGATAACTTTGCAATTATTAAAAGAAAAAGGAATGGTCTAAAAAAAAAAAAGTGAAGTACCCCTTTCAGACGATGCGATCTATTGGCAAATGAAAAATGAAGTCAGGTACCGATTAGAGTTGGGTGGAATTTTTATATTCACGTCTATAGGAGGTGGCAACGAGCTATGGGTCTAAACTATCCACAGGATGTGACGTTGCAGGTCAGCGTTGAGGCCTTCTATAACGATTGGTCTCGGTCCAACGACCAGGCAGCCAGACACAGAGACAAATAACGATCGTCACATTATGGGTCAACGTAAACAATACATGTATTTGCATTATAGCATTGTTGCCATTACTTCTTAGTTGGTGAATATGTCCAACTCGTGTTTAGAAGTTATCAATTCAATGTCAGAAATCTTGTGTAATCAAATCAAGAACATCAAACAGACTAACACATTCATCCGGACAATATTAAGAATAAGCAAAATATTTTTTAAAAACACTTTCAAAAAAAAAAAAAAAAGCTTTTATAAAGAAAGTAACTGCACACTTACAGTCAATCTCAGTACTGTAAGTTATTTCCCTTTATCTCAATCAAAATTTATTTATTACCACTAATTAATTGGTTATGCTTGTTAGGGGAAATGAATAATTGTGTAAATATTCAATTTGAACCATAGGAAGTGGGAGAAATAACGTGATCAAAATTTGTAGCAGACAGACAGGCAGACAAACAGGCAGAGTGTGTTGATATTAGATTTGTCAAAACAAGACTCTTGTAATCTCTCCATTGGTCTTTATTTCAAGTTTTAAAACATTTATTTTGTCAAGAAATCCACAAATTGAAAACAATGAAAAAAAAAAAAAGGTTTATGTATAGATATATATATGGTATAATAGTAATTTGGCAAATATATATTTTAAACTATAAATAGATGCAGATTAACAGGGCAAAACTAAAAATAAGTAAAGCTAGGGAGCACTGAAAAAATCTGAACTATAGATTTGAATAAATGACAAACTTAAAGCCCATTTATGTTCAATGCATTCTTTTTTTTTCCCCAAGTGCAATTTGACAGAAAAGGTGAATCAAATAGTTTTCAACACAATCTTTGAGTAACTAAAAGGATAGAAATTTATTTAAGGGTAAAAATAAATAGAAGAAAAAGAGCAATTTTAAGAAAACACTGCAGATAGTAAACTAAATGATGGCTATATATATATTCTATATATCTTCTGCTCCATTTATAACAGACAGGTTCACACAGAAGAAACAGTTGCAGGTAGACATCAATTGGTTCAATCAGTCAAATTTCCCAGTAGTAAATCAATGAGTCACAGAAACACATTTTTTCTTCAAGGCCTGGTAAAATTTTGTGCAAGTCCCATAGTTGCCCATCTTATTAGTTGGAAAATTTCATTAGTTTCTTAATGACATGGCCAAGATACAGAAATATTTTCATGTTTTTTTGTGGATACCAGACTTTTATTTTACATATAAATGACTTTTTAAAGTTTTTCAGATGTTCAGGAAATAATTATAATGACATAACTCAAACCTCCAGCAGGACAGCAGAAGAGGGCAGTGGGCAGGACTCAAATCCAGGACCATTGGGACAAAAGTCAGGAGCATATAAAACAAGGTCAGACAGCCCCCACCAACATAAACAAAAGTAAAGAAATTTCTACATTTGAATGTAAAATGCACAAAAGGTTGTTGATGAATGAACTCAGGAACTATAAGGGCCTCAAGAATAATGTTTAAAAAATGAGAAAAAACAAGTCTTAACATCTAACACAAAACATTCTCCATAGAAAAATAAAACTTTATTGGCCAATCTGTCACTGCATTCATAACATAAATTTGTTAGATATATGTACAAACAAAAATTACCAACACTATAACATAAAATGTTCTAAAGACCAGAAGTTGCACCGACTGAAAATCTGAAACTAATTTCTAAACATTTAATACTATGAGCAAAATCTGTTTCGTTACACTGCATCCAGACATCTAGGTCTTTAGAAAGTCTGTACAGCAATTCATACATGATTCAATACACCACATGCAAAATTAAAATTACCCTACATCCCTATAAAAATGTCTATATTTATAAAAAGGTAAATAAAAATAGTAATTAGAAAATTAAAAGTTTTAACTATAAATTAATTTCTCAAGACTTATGAAGTGATAAACTTTGAGGTGTCAAATTTTTCATAGCAGTCCTTATAAAGAATACTAGTTTGAATATTAACAGAACATGCTTTAATTCAAATAAAAATCTTATAGCAATAAATTAAAGGTCATTTTGCTAACACCTAAAAAAAAAAAAGATATTATGAATTTCTTACATTGCATGTTGTATAGACCCTAGATTTATAACATCTTTACAAGCAAGCAAACATTTTAATATATATCTTTAAATACATGAGGAATCTAGTATTATTATGGATTACATTATTATAAGTAAAATTATTAATAAAGCATATGTAAGCAAGTCCTATTCTTGGTTTTTTTAAGTTTAACACAGAAAATAAAACAAAAATTATAATAATAAATCCAAGACCCTAATTACAAATGGTAAAAAAAGCACAAAAAATAATATTATTACAAAACTTTATTTTAAAATAGAGCGCTGAAAACAACAACATAGTATACACATAGAATTAAATTTTTAAGGTATCTGCTTTATTTTGAACTCATTAGATGCCAATGATAAAACAACGAGACTTCAATTTTAATGTTGTTGTTTTTTTAAACATTCCACATTGTGATTAATGTATTTAAGAGGGTGATCTTTTGCAGCATTCCCAATAGAATGTTATTTTAAAAATCCTAATTTAACCATTTTTATATTTATTTTTTTTACATAGAAATTGAATTGACAGAAAAAAAAATCTAAAAGAGAAAATAAAACATCAAAAAGTCTTTTGTTCTTAGTGTGATGTTTCTGGCAGGACATTATTTCACAAGACAAACTGAAATAATTCAAAGTCTTGGTTATCACAAGGTATCTCCTTCAGTGCTGTAAGAGTTTGGATTTTACAAACAGTTAAGTTATAACAGACTCTTTTACAATGCAATTGTGGTGACTGAGTTGTAAGATGTCTGCCAAATAAAGGAAGTCTTGTTCAAACACTAGAGGAGGATGTTAAATTGAATTGGTAAAATTAAAAAAAAACAACATCTGACCAGACAATACTTAACACAGTTGAGTGTTAAAGCTAAAAAATTTGTTCAGCATTTTGTATGAATGTCATGTCATGCAAGTACATACAAACCTAAAGGATTAATAAATAATATCATTCTCACATCAAAAAAAAGGCAAAGCTTTAAAAAAACAAAAGGCATTTTAAACAAAATTAATACATGTAAAAAATACTTTCAAAATTAAAAAAAAAAAAATTATTGATGAAATGGACTCCAAACACTCACATTCATAAAAAAATAATTTGAACTATAAGACATTCAACTCAAATAATACTGAACCACATCTATAGGTAATGTCATAAAACACAAGCACTACAAGTCCACAGACTACTAGGAAAGGGTATGAACAGCGGAATAATATTCATTCATCTTGGAATTTCTCAAGTCAAAACTAAATACTTTTTTTTTTCCACAAAATTCATTAAATTTTTTTTTCTTTTTTGAAAGACATCAAGTAACAATTTTTCTCTATATGACAAAAAAAATCTTTTAAAGAATTTCAGAGATACAACAGAAAGTCACAAAAGTTAGTTGTTTTTTTGACAATATTTGATAATGTCAAACATGAAGATTAGTTAATAAATCAACAGGAATAAAAAAAAAAATACATTTGAATAAACTAATTCGCCAAACGTTTCATCCTTCTCACAGCCAAATGCCAGACATCTGTCACACTGATGGTTTCAAATAATGGTGAATTGATACATTTTAAGAATATTACTTGTTTTTCAATTCCGCTCGCACTCTCTTGGTTACCCGCCCACAGCTCAGCCCAACAATGAAAATGATGCCAACAACAGTGAACAAAATGGCAAAAAAGTAGTTCCGAGATGGCGATTGGGATATTTGTTCATACAGCTCTCCAAAACTTTCAGCTGGTGCCACCTGAGGAGGAAATAATACAATTACATCACATCAATAGTTACAATACTGCAGAAATAGTTTATTTTTCAAAGCAAATATTTGAGATCAATCTTATTTTTTAAACTAAAACCCTTTAAATGAAATTTAAATCCATGTCATTTTTTTTTTAATATGGCAATACAGAGAATTAAAAGTAAAGCCAAACAAACAATTTTTGACAATGCATATTTACCTTTGCAGCATATTCCCACAAATCCTTTCTTCGTTTCAGCATCTCTCTGCAGTTTCTTGACAATAAATTTTCTTCACTCTCTAAGTAGGCCAGCAAACAAGACATCTCTGGAGGAAAAAAAAAAAAAAATATAATGATGATATATATTATTAATAGTATATTTAGAAATAACTAATCAATTGTTTTTTTATAATAACACCATCGCTGCTGGAAGTCATTGCTAAAAGCATAAGAAATAATTCCACAGTTTGGGCACTAAATCTAATAAGTTAACTAGCTACTAAAAGCAGGCAGGCAATACTTAATTTTTTGATGGTCAATTGAGAAAGTAGTCTATTGAAATAAACATGATGGCAAGCCAAAGTTATCTATGAGAACACTATAGCACACAATAATTAATAAAGAATGTAAGATTGCAGGCAATACTCTATTGGGCTTAAAGAAGAAAAGCAGATGGCAGATGATGTAAAGGTCATCTATTTCTATAACCGACACCAATCAACCACCTTTACTTTCACCAATTAATGTCAGGTACCTATTAGAGTTGGTAGACTCATGGGCATACAAAAAATTCCAAAATTTAAAATCCTGGTCATCAAGATTCAAACCCGAGTCCCCCTCAGTTCAGAAGCCACTCAGCCACCACGCTCCCAGGAAAAGTAAAGTTCTAGGTAATATTCAAGGAATGAAGTTGTGGGTTCAAAACTTGCTCCCTACTCAGCTCAACTTTTTTTACTCCCATTACTCTTGACTTTTTCTTTGTTCTTGAATGCTATGCTATTTATGTTATTCATCTAGCACTTAAGTGTCCCTAAAGGTATATCACTTTGTAAATAATTGTGTTTGCATTGCATACAATACAAAAAAACAACAAAAAAAAACATTAAGTATCGAGACTCACGCCGTCCTTGTCCTTGAGCCACTGTCTTACACAAGTGTATCAGGTCCTTCTGGCATGTAGCCTGAAGTATTGGATCTACCTGAACATCAATACGACTTTCTGCAATTGTGAAGGCAACTTCCTGAAACAAGCATAAAAATTGAAGTGAAGTTCAATAGTACACAAAACAGCAAGCATAGTAAATAAAGTTTATTTGTAAGCTTTTAGAGCTACAGTAAGGTACTTAGTTTGCATGCCCCTTCCTAATCCACCTTTGACAGACCCTACTACCACTACAGCCCAATATAACCAACTCTTTGTACGGCAGAGCAGAACAACTGAAGAGAACAGTACACTATTTTTCCTTGGTACAGTCTGCAAAAGAGCTCATGGCTCAGCAGTAAATAGCTGGCTAGAGGAAGAAGAAGAAGTTAAGTACTTAGAAGATAGTAGGATTTGTATGCATGGGGACTTCTTCTAAGCTTGGGTGGTGATGAAGATTTGGCTTAATTACACCTTTTACCTTGCTATTCTGACAAACATTTAAATGATGTCCCTGATGAAGCCAAGCCAAAAGTTAATGAAAAACAAAATAAAAAGAGCCTAATATGAAAAAACATAAATTTTAAGGTCAAAACTAGAACACTTGGGTGTAGATAAAAAAAAAAAAAAAAAAGAACTGGATATGAAGATCTATGAGGTGTAAATGCAGCTGCTGGAGTGGAACTATGTTAACAAAATAATTTTTTACAATGACGTGAAAATGGATTGAAGATGATAACAATGAAGTTTATTTATAAAGAGACAATGTTGGCCTCCACCATCAGTCGTAGAAGGACAAGGGTTCATCTCATAGTACTCTTTTTCATGTGACTGTGGAGCCCTATTTTGGAGAGACATTCCCGTCCAAATGTATTGCAGGTTAAGGTGCCATTTGTAATTCCAAGGAGAAAGATTAAACCCTCAACCTATCATGACAAAGTGTAGATGTTATACAATTATATGAAATATTTTTTTCATATTCTCGAAAGAAGCCCATTAAATATTGTCTATGGGAAAGATGAAAAAAATGATGTCCCAATTATATCCTTACTATTCAAAAACTTTTGTGTAAACAACTAAATTGTATGTTCTTTTAATTGTATAACCTTGTTTAAAAAAACAAGAAA